CCTCTATATTTTGCACAGCATCTCCCTGCCTCTCTCTCTCTCTTTCTCTCTCCCTCTCTCTCTCTCACACACACACACACACTCACTCTTTCGCTCTCGCTAAGACTCGAGCACATGCAGACAGAGGGAGAGGGGGGATGAACGAGGTGCACACATGTGAGGATCTCCTGAACTGCCGGGGCAAGGCAGGACTGGTGAAGAGAGAAGAAGAGAAGGAGGAGGAATAGAGGAATACTGCAGTGACCAGCCAGCTTCTCTCTCTCTCACTCTCTCACTCTCTCTTTTTCTCTCTCTTTCTTTCTCGCTGCTTCACTGCTTTCATCACCCAGTCTTCTTCATCCCCTTCTCTCCCCCTCTGCCAATTATACCATGAACCTGCCTGCTGCTTGTTGCTAAGGGGGAGCCATCCGGGGGAGCAGAGTGGACCAGGCATTATTTTGTTTCTAAGGTAATGAATGCTTTAGTAATGGCAACTGTCAGGTGTCACAGATGTTGCATTGCACTCGGCTGCTTGCCTGCTGAGACTGAACAGGGCTTTGGGACTCACAGTCACAATGTGGTTCTGGGTAAATCTGGAGCATGGCTTGTTCTGTTCATGTTTGTGTGTGAACTCTAGTTTATTCAGTTTGTTTCAGTTGACTGGGCGTCTATTGGCTTGTTTATTTGAGCCACTGCAGGGGGCTGTGCCCTGTGAATATGTGTGTATGTGTGTGCAATGTCCTTTTGTATTTGTCTCCTCATAAATTGGTGTTTGCTGTGTGCTTGGATTTGAGGTTGTGCATGTGAAGATACACACTTGTACTGCACATGAGGGCATGCTGGTGCTCTCTGGGTTTCTCTCAGCAACTGTCAGTGTCCGTACTCCATCACTTTGACACAAGCATTCAATTAACATCTTGGATGGGCCCTCTGTGGAGTTTGATTTGCATGCTTGATCAGCTTGATTTGGAGGAAGTTGTTCTCTAGAATTACAGCTTCCTGTCAGCAGGGGACCTATTGGCACACTATTGTTTTCTTTAAGCAGGTGCTATGCAATCCATACTGCCTTGCCTTTGTATATGGCCCTTGAGGCAGATGCAAAGATTAGCGGTCTAATGTGCTCAGACTCTAAAGAGAGCACAGACGTGTTAGCCAATGGGGAGTGCTGCACTCCGCACTTCTGGTGGCAATAACAAACAGTAAGGCGAGAGCGGATGATTACTTATTCACTCATGCACATCACTATGCTCCATGGTGTAATAGATTAAAGCTATGGTGACAAAGCCACCTTGCATGTCTGCTGTCGTGCAAGCTGGCGGCATGCTAAATTTGAGCTATTTCAATTTCCCCCTCCTCTCCACCAGAGCCATTATCTGCAGTTGTTCAAACTTGTAACATTGCACGGCTACAATTATATAATTCAACTACTCCAAATCCCTTGCCAGCGGCCGGCCCTTGGCAAGATGCAGTGTTACTAATTCAGTTAATGTATGAAGGTTTCATAGTGTGCCTGCTCATGTGTGCCTGACATGAAATGTTGTCTACGTCCTCTGTGCTTTCTCCCCTCAATAGCTCATCATAGTTCTTTTCAAACACAAATAGCTGTTACAGTGAATAGTGAGGCCCAGTGAGCCGTGTGATTATTTTTTTTCCTCGCAGCTTTATCCTCTCGCACTTTGTGTTTTATAAGTACCCAAAATTATGAATGTGTCGAACTGTGTAATCCACCCCCTCACCCCTCTTTCCTCCACATGATTAAAGGACTAACAAATGGTTTAACCCATTTAATACACACGGGAGCCTTCAATGGCAAAGGGTACACGGTGCTAAGGAAGCTCGTTGAAGCCCAGTCGTCAGCGTAGGTTATGGAAATCCTTAGTTAAGCAGAATTAATTCTCCTGAGAGAGTAGAGGGAGGGAGGGAGAGGGGAGACAGCCTAGAGAAAGTGATGGGGACTGTGTGGAGGTTGTAAATAAATCCCTTAACAGCAGCTCTCAAAGAATGAAGCCTGGGGGGGTTAATGTGGGGAGTGCAGCCAGATCAGAGGTAACCATCATATGATTGCTGCTAATAGAGTCAACACTTACTAAGGCTTAGCATAAAAACAACAACACACATAGTGGCATTGTAGCACTGACCACAGTTAAACTCTCAGTATCACCACTAGGAGGGTTCATTTATTATGAACAGCAGTTTCTTATAGAGAAAGAAAGATGACTCATCAACCTCACAGCCACATCGGCTCTGTGTTGTAGACACTAATCTTTGCTGTGTAATTACTGCCATCCTGACTCCCCTGATCATGTTTATTTCAACAAGTAGCTATATTTGAATTATTTATCCCTTACTTTTAATTTAACAATTTGAACTGTTTATGCATTATTTTTACCTAACAATTTGACCTCTTCATTAAATACCTATAGTTATCTTTTTAAAACCATTTACTTAGACTTCTCTGCTTTTCACACTGGTAAATCTAATTTAAAATGTGTATATATTTCAACATTTTTAAAAAAAATGTTTCAATTAGTTGAGCTACTGACAGCAGAACTACCCCCACGTACGGTTGCAAATCAGTATTGTATATGCTTATTATTTGACTTTGAGGCTTAGTTAATATTCATCTTACATCAGCCTACCTGAGCTCTCTTATCTGTCCCTTCTGTGACAGGTGTCTCCTTTCCGAGACAGCCGCATACATTTTGGCAGCTGAATGTCATGACGATAAAGACTGGAGGAATGTTGGTTCCCAGGGGAAATTGAAATGCTGACTGATGTTTATCAAATTGTCATTTTGTGTTCTTCCACCCTCCAGTGGATGTTGGGTGCTGCTGTGTTCATGTGATTCATCTGTTCCTTCGACAGGACTGAGTCAAAATGGCGGAGGGGTCCAAAGACCAGGGAGGCGTGGGCACTACTGATCCAGAGGAGGACTCCCCCAATATGATCGTCTACAGAAAGGTAAGGCTGGCTCTATGTGTGTGCTACAGTCTATATGAAGGGAGAAACATTCGCTGAGAGGCAATGACCCGTAGACAGGCTCCTGACAGCCCACTGGTCCGTATCAGTGTGTATCTACCACACACTAGTTTGACTGTCAAACTCAGATGTCAGGAAGCCTCTCTTTCAACCATTTTAAAACAAGCTCAACTCTATATTTTAGTCCTTCTCTCCCTTCAGGACCTTCTTCCTACCTCTGTATTATGACTAGTCTGGGAAACTTCAGCCCTCCAATGTTTTAATAAGCTCTCAATCCCATCAGTGAGGGTTTGGGCAATGAGAGGTCCTTTTAGTGTCAAGGGTAATTACCTCATCCCCATGGGGCCTCACTTTCAATAGCTGCTGTTTGATTGGAGAGGGTGAGCAGTATTGGTGGCTAATTACGTGGATGTTCGGCCGGGAGGAAGTAGCTGATTCTGCAGAGCCGGGATTGGGAACGGCCAATGAGTGGGTGGTTATTCCTCCTCAACTGACGAATAGCTTGTTATTTCTCTGCCAGTGCAGTGACAGCCCATTTTAAAAAGAAAAGCTTCTTTTAATCAGACTTAAACCACAGGATCCACTTCTACCATCAAGCCTGCTGTCTTAATTGGTGAAAATTGTGCTATAAGCAGGATGGAGTTGACAGATCCTGTCCCATGTCCCAAAGCTGTTGTTTCATCCTACTCCTAATGATTGTCCATTTATAAAGCGATGTATTAGATTAGCGGAGAGATGGGATGTCAAATAATTGTCGACAGCAGCTGCATCTGTGTTAAAATTTCTCTTTTAGGCATGTCTGCTAACTACGTGTCAGTGTGGAGCTTAGGGCTTGGTGACAACTTAAAGAGTTTCCGATAAACCTCCATCTTTGTAATAAACACCTCGAGTCTGCAGCTACCCTGGAAAAACTGTCAAGGATCTCCTTTTTACTGAGAAACTTGATAAATCTCTCACGCTACTTCTGATAATGATGCTACAAGGATTGTGTGCTATGAACAGAGTGTCACACGTCAGCAGTTGGCATTAAAAGGGGTAGTGGAAGTGCATTGCCAGTAACAATTCAGTGGTGTTCTGTAAATACTCAGCCTGTTAGTGTAGCAGTGGGCATTTCCAGTCTCCTAAAGTTTCTGCCAGGAATCCAGGAATAATAATTGAATCAATAATTATATCAGAACTATGACAGTCTGGAGACATCTCTACGTGAAGCCTATGTGTCACATAGCTGTCAAAAATATTTATGTACTGTGTGTGTGTTTTGTGTGCATATTCTACACGGTAATACATTCATTGTTTATTCAGTATTATTATTATCCACCATGTATTCCAAGAAGCCGTCACGCTGCAGAGGGAACATACTGTAGTTGCATGTAATACTGGGTATCTTTATGGCTTTCACAGCAGTGCTTCATTATGTAACGCTACACATGCCTGGAGGCTACGAATTTAAGAGGCTAGTTTTTGCTTGTCAGGATGCTGCCTGAGGGAATATTCATCATTTCATGTTTTAGTCATACGCAGTGACAACAGCCAGATGATTGTGAGAGTGACAGGATTTTTCCGCCCTTCCTGCTTTGAAAATATGATTTCTGATTTGAAGCTTTTTGAGGAAGAAAGCTGAGGAATAACAATAATTAGAGACCAACTATTTGTCTTAGTATGTGGTCGTAATCTAGATCCTGACCTTTAATTTAATTGATGTAGTTACTTATTTTCACCTCGGCGCCACTCACTAGCTGTGGTTGTCAAAGAGGCCAAACGATCAAGAGGGGATGCGTCTTTGAGGGCAGAGCGCCCGTGGCCTCTGGACTCGATGGGTGGGCAGCGTGGCGCAGTGTGAAGGCGCTGCTTGCAGAGAGGCAGATGGCCACCAATATGCTCCGCCGCCTGGGAAAACACTGGCAGCTTCATCCCAAAGGCCTGAGCCTCTGTCAGCTGGAAGACATCAGTATCTTACTGCCAAAAGCAAAAGCTAGTGTAGTCCTAGTCAGGAGATAAAAATATTTCAGAGTGTGGGCAACACCTTTGTGAAATGTATAGAAGGTAAGGGGTTAAGATACCTTTACTTACATTGCCATATCTGTTTCAAAACTATTAAGTAAACTGTGTAGGCAGTTAGACAAAGGTGAATGTGATGTATTTAGCCATTAGAGAGGCTGAGTGCTCAGGAGGGGAGGAGGTTGTCTCTGTCCGTGCAGTGTAGGTGCTGCAGTGCTATCTTGCTCTGTCTCTCTCCTCCCACGAAAAAAAGGAAGTAAAGCAAAACAATCCAATAACTGCAGGACGTCTTATTGCCTCAAGAACTTGTGGAGAAAATTTGGTCTAACAGAAGTAGGTTGCACACATACTGTAAATGCACACACACGGGAACTCACACACCTGCTTCATGCTGTTTTAATGCACACTGTTGTTCTTCCTTGCTTGGCAGACAGACTATGGCAGGTAGATGAATAGGACAGGCACCAAGACACACACAAAAATGAAACTCAAACCATGAAGAGAAACACTACTGTGTTGGGAAATGCAATAAAGCTGAGGAGAGAGACTACTTGATTGCTCTGATGGGGCAAAGCTCACTAACTATTAATAGCTAACATCTTTTGTCCCTAAGTGCGTGTGTCTTCCCCCCTTTTTCCCCTCTGTGACTTTGGAACCAGGACTGTTGCTGTGCTGGCATCCTGTTTTTTGACACACACAGTCAATTGTTGCACCCCCTCTTCCTTTTATTCAGTTCATTAAATGTTTGATTGGACCATTTTTGGCAGTCAACTCATACCTGAAGGTGGGTATTATAGCCATAGTATGGTGTGGTACAATCACACAAAACTTTAATCCAGATGAGTTTTGAGAGCAATTAGTGGGTAAATATTAGTAATGAGCCATGCCAGAAAGTTCAAAGGCACTACTTGGTGCCAGTGGCCTTTGGGTGTGTGTAAGCACTCTATTAGCAGAAAGTACAGATACTGACAATCACAAATGTGTTATTTTCTAGCTCAATACACTCCACTGGCTGCTTTGTTGGCGGACTTCCACTTTTAGCATGTGTCAGAGACAAATTAAGAAACTGTTGGGGCACATGCTTTTCCATCTCCCTGTCCCGTTTATTATTTTCTTATCAAATCTGCTCACATAGGCAAACCCAAGCTGCTGATTTGGGTTGGTCTAAATGGACACGTTTGGCAATTTTTTGCCAGAGGCATTTTTCTTACAGGCTGCTGATACTGTGTTTCTTTCAGCCATGCTGTATCATTAAATGATAAATGCATTTATATAGCACTTTTATTCCTTTTACACACAATATTTGCTATTGTCCAAAGACAGTTTGATTTGTGGAGCTGGTGATCAAACCACCAGTCCTGTACTTAGATGCCAAGATGAGATACGATAAGATAAGATAAGGTAGACTTTATTGATCCCACACTGGGGAAATTCACCTGTTATAGCAGCTCCAGATAAAACACGGCAGATAAGAAAAAAAGAAATACACATTAAATAACAACATAAAATAGAAAAATATAAGATATAATGAAAAAAAAAATTAGAGTTGTATATAAACTATATACAACGTTTTATACAGATGTGATAGGAATAGAATATTGGACAGGTTACAGCTGGAGGTAGTGGCATGGTGTAAAAAATAAATAATTGCACCGGACAAAAAATAAATAAATAAATAAATGAATATATATATATTCAATGCACTCTACCTCCTAAACCACAGCCATGCTTTCAAACTGATCATTTTCAGGTAGCTGGCTAGATATTGTGTGTTTCAAATGCAGAGGCAGGTCAGGTGACATTTTCTGTTTGTCTTTGGATTATGACCAAATATCTGTAAAACTAAACTTTTTATTTAGTGCTAATTAGCTCATTTTAGTACGCTAACATGGTAAACTATGAGGACCGTGTAACATGTTATAACATTGTCATAGGCCAAATATCACATCACAAAGCTGCTAACGGCTGAAGTTATTTTTTAGTACCTTTCCCTTTTCTTTCTTCCCCCCTCCACTCCTATTTTTCCGCCTTTCTTCTGCTTCCTGCTAATTAATAATTGACGCTCATTTCAAGCGTTCCATCTTTAGAAAAATATCTAGTCGCCTGAGACATCATATCCCTCCATTCATTTATTCATAGCCAGCACATTTTTTTCATTACTTGGTATTTTTATCCATGTATGTGCTTCTGTGTGAAGAGAGGAGGACTAAAGGGGAACAAAGGATACAAAATGTCTTTTAATGTCTTAACAAAACGCAGTACTGCAAAGTCAGTTTGACAGATCTTTGAATTTTCATTTGCATGAACATTACAGTGTTGTGACACATGGTATCAGGCGCTATGGGGTGCCTAACACAAGTAATCGTATCCGTTACTCCTTCAGGCTGGATAGATGTTTAGTCTAACAGCCTGAGTGATGGGTGAAGAAGATTTAACAGTGCCACCTTAACCTCCCACACCATCCACATCAGTGACAGTCAGCTGGGTTTAGGAGAATTTAGAGCCAGGACACAGAGGGAGTTCACTCAACTCCTACATTGCTGATATGAAGGTACTGGAGATATGTATAAAATTATGACAATCACACTAACTTAGAAATACTGAATCTCCCTCAAGCGGCAGCACAAGATGAAATTACTGTAAATAGCAGCTTCCCACATCATCCATTCACCTACCACAGCAGGGACTGACAGCTGGTTGGGTTTGAAAGGCCCAGAGCACTGAATCGCTCTAGTTCTGCTGGTCAGAAGGAGGCTTGCCTGCATGTCTTTCTGCTGCCGCCCATGAGTCACACTCTCTTCTCTCTCTGAAGTGCCCCTGGGGCCCATGGAGGGTATATCTCTCCTCTTTTAAGACTAACCTCCCTCCGAGGTGTCTATGGGCTACTACTGGCTGTTCCTGTGCGCACTTAAGATATCACAGTCCAGCTGAATCTTCTGGATATCACCTCATGCAGCTGTAGGGACCAGTTCTCCAATGCTTTA